TCATTATGCCTACAGTATTTCTGCTTGGACACTGCTACTTTTTGAAATCGAAAGATTCAAGGCATGACATTTGGCAAACATTTTTGCAATTCCATTACAGCGCCCTTTTGTTTACCTAACATTAGGTTGCTTGACTGTTTGAGCAAGAATTTGGCCTGTGAATTTGGGCTCCATTAAATATGTTTTCAATAACAATACGGCAATACGATTGACATTTGAGATTTATGGCTCTTATGTCTGTAGTTTTGTTAAATATAATACTGTAATACTGTCTCTGCCTGATGCGACTTAAAACTATATCCTAGATTTCTTCGCCACAGCATTCTATAATTTTATTTTGGATGCGGCTGCTTATGAACGTAGAATGCGCTTTTGAGTTTTAGTTCTCTAAAATTCTCTTCATTATTAAGGACACCCTCGTCATTCGTGCTGTCATTAGAATAAAATCGTCTCCTATCTCTATGCCCTCTAAGTGGTATATTTTGGCGTCCTAAAAAAATATAGTTTCTATTATAGGAGTCAGTCTTTGCCGATTTTCTGATATTTGCTTAATTCGCTCTGACCCTATTGTATTTCTTATATCATTTTCTGGATTTTCGTAAATCTTTAAAATGTTTGTAGCATCTGAAACTGCTTCTGTATGATATATTGACTTCTCAGGTGTCTCACAATCACCGGTTTTGCCATACAATTTCGAAAATTTCTTTAGTGGTACGGAAACGAGTTTTCCCAATTTAGTTGATTTATGTATTCCTCCGAATTTTGCAAAAACCACGCAATATTTACAGAAAAGCCCTTGTAGAATATGACAGCCAAGGAAATTTCTCAACTGTTTTTTTGATAAGTAACATTTCACTTCTTTATTATTTTTCAAGTGTGTGGAATAGGGATATTTGAAAGAGTCATTAGGGATGATTGCACACCTCATCAGGTATATTTTTCATGGGAAGACAAGTTGCCGCTGAAATTTACATATGGCGCAACATCAACAAAATTGGATTCTTTAGGTTTCACTCCCGATTGATCAACACTTGGTTCAGCATACGGTGCAACATCAAGAAATTTTGAAGTGGAAGGCTCAGGTTGAATTGTAGGATTATCATCAGTTTTTTCCGGTAATTCTTGTGCCGGTGGATCAGACAGTTTGTTTTGTTCAGAAAGGAACCAGTCGATGGTATTCTGTTTCCTTTTACTCATCCTGACAACAGCAGCCGTCAACGAGCACTAAAAGTTACACAAATATTGTCAAAGGAACGGCATTATTGGCTTCCACGCATTCACATATCTCATAACAAAGAACCTTTTCTGTTTGGGAAACAGGATTTCTTAAGTTCACGCAATTTTCAAAAACTAAATATATAATTTGTCATCTCGGACAAACGGAATGCACTGAAGTGCTTATATACAGGGACTTCCGAGACAAAATAGACATAGGTAGATGATAATGATAGCAGGAGTATGGAGCAAACACAAAAATTGAAATTATATTAAATTTCCATTTTTTCGTCTATAATTTTTTTAGACGCGATTCTTTTATAGTATAAAAATTAAAAATAAACAAAAATTAATTTTCTGGCTTATCCGTGGAAAATAAAAAATCAATAGAACATAAAAAATAGCGTTAATACCGACCAGATCAGCAAAACTCCGCTTGTTCACTTCTCAGCCGAATTTTGTTGCGGACTCCTGACTGGTACAGATCTTAGACACTAGACTATACCATAAAAGACTAGACTATACCTGTACCAACAGGAAGAAGCGCACGCCGTTCCTGTTGGTGGGAGAGTAGTCGCTAGTCGCATGCGCACTGAGCGGGTTGGCAGTGTCGCCGCTATCCTTTCTTAAAGTTACAGATTTTTTTATAAGACGTTTACTTTATACCATCTTTTCAAAGACTGCTCGAGTCGTCTGAGGGGGGGTAATTACCCCCACTACCCCCCTCCCGGCAGAGCGCCTGTGTTCTGGTATATGTACGAACAACGGTTGAAAATATTTTGATGTAAGTTCTATCGCCCATCAAAATATAGGGGTTTATTAAAATTTAACTTTTTTTTTATTACTTTAATAGTGATGGGAAAGTCAATCTGTACAATATTCATTACACTGATCTACAGCCAAAAAATATCCTAAATAAAATCAACAAAATATTACTATTTTTAATGTGCTAAAACCGGAATGAAACTTATTCTTTCAATATTAGTTCAAGTTTTACAGATACGGTAATTATATGTGTTCCTGCTGTGACAGTGTTAATATACTGTAATTCACAAGAATGCACGTGCTGCATTTTTATATTCGGCAAGGAAAGATGATGTAATCGGCATGATTGTGTTACGTTATACATACGTGTACATTATATTGTTTTATATTAGCCATTTTTTCCTCAGTTGGCTGACAGCGTTCATGCAAGATGTCTCGAAAGTGTGTAAACAATCCAGATCAGTTTTGTTACGTGTGTGGTGATGTGACTTTTGCGTCTCATATTATTCCACTAATAACAAAGGCATATCAGCTTTATTTCGGTTGTAAACTAGGTGATCAAGACAAACACTGGACACCCCACATCTGCTGTAATACATGTGCTTCAAGACTGAGGAGCTGGTTAAATGGCAAAAAACGGTCTATGCGCTTTGCTGTCCCAATGGTTTGGAGAGAGTCTACAAATCATATTAATGATTGTTACTTTTGCATGGTACCTTGTGTTGGACAAGCCACAGGTATGTCCAAGAAAAAAAAATCGGTTATTAACTACCCAAACATACCATCCGCGATGAGACCTGTGCCTCACAGTGACGAAAATCCTATTCCAAAACCCCCAGAATCCTACACTTGCGAATCAGAAAACGAATCAGATCATGGCGATCGAGTGATTCGTCAGGAAGAAGATATGCCATCAACGTCAAGAGATCCTGATTTTATACCGAGCACGTCATGCCACCAACCGCACAAAATAACACATTCAGAATTAAATGATCTTGTAAAAGATTTAGAACTTCCAAAATATAAGGCAGAGCTACTTGGATCAAGACTGCAGCAGTGGAACTTGTTAGAAGACGTTGTTTCGGTATGTGTTTTTTGTAAACGCCACAAAGACTTAGAACCATTTTTCAATATGGAGAATAACTTGGTTTTCTGCAGTAAAATTAACGGTTTACTGGCTGCTTTAAATATAAACTATAACCCAGAAGAATGGAGATTGTTTATAGACAGTTCAACATTGAGTTTAAAGGCAGTGTTATTGCATATTGGAAATATTTCACCATCTCTTCCTGTAGGGTATGCAGTTCACATGAAAGAATCATATGACAATATGAAGTACCTACTGACATGCATAAAATACGATGAGCACCAATGGCATATTTGTGGCGATTTGAAAGTTGTTGCACTTTTACTTGGGCTGCAGCTAGGCTACACAAAGTTTTGCTGTTTTTTGTGTGAATGGGACAGTCGGGCAAAGGCACTTCATTACACCAGACATAACTGGCCTGTTCGTCAATTCCTAGAGCCAGGTCAAAAAAATGTACAGCATATGCCATTAGTAGATTCGAAAAAAATTTTATTACCACCACTGCATATCAAGTTGGGCCTAATGAAAAACTTTGTCAAGGCATTAGATAGAGATGGGTCAGCTTTTCAATACCTGCGTCAGAAATTTCCAAGACTAAATGAGGCAGAGGTTAAAGAAGGTATTTTTGTTGGGCCACAGATTCGAAATATTTTGAAAGATATACAGTTTGAAAACACTTTAACAGGTATTGAAAAAACTGCTTGGAATGATTTCCGTCTGGTGGTCACTAATTTCTTGGGAAATAGAAAAGCTGACAAGTATTAAACCCTTGTCAAAAATATGCTGTCATCGTATCAAAAGATGGGCTGTAATATGTCTCTTAAGATACATTTCCTACACTCACACCTGGACTTTTTTCCTGACAATTGCAGAGCCGTAAGTGATGAGCACGGCGAACGTTTTCATCAGGATATTTCAACAATGGAAAAAAGGTACCAGGGAAAGTGGAATCCTTCCATGCTTGCAGACTACTGTTGGACTCTTGGTATAGATGCTCCAGAAGCGACCCATAAAAGAATAGCAAAAAGACAGCGCATATAGTGATTCTTATAAGTATATGAATCTTGTTACAAATTTTAATATATCCTTAAAAATAAAAAGTTTTTTTTCTAAACCGCAACTAATTTTTTTATTTCATTGTCATTTTTGGATTCAGCGCCCCAAAATTAACAAAGAAGTGCACTTTTCCCACAAGATACAATTAAAAAACTAAAATTTGTTGTCCAGTGATCGGTCTGCAGAAAATCCACATAGTTCAGCACTATGGGCGTTGAAGTTTGAATGTGTGGTGTGGCATACTGTGACGTAGAATTATTGAACGACATTTTTTCCAGCAATCCCTAAATGGCAAAATCTTTCTTGACTTGACCTCTGGAAACAAGGCAAAACTTGAGGGATTTCCGTATACAATTTTCTTTCGCCTAGATTTTAGGTTAGGAACAAGATATCGGGACGTGGTTTTCGCAAGCTTGGTTAAACATCATTTAGCTACTTATTCATAAAAAAAATGATACCAATGAATTTAATTTTTGTGAGAAAATCAACCATATCTGTGTCACATTCAGTGATTCAAGTCCGACTGCTGGCAAATATTTTACAGAAACTTAAAAATCATAAATTTGCACAGCCCCAGTGAAAAATCACTTAATTGCTGGATATAATTCAATGCAGGAACAAAAAAGGGCGGTAGCCGTTAAACAGAAACTTTAAATACGTCTTGTAGATTGAAATGATTCATATGCCATTTTTGCTAGCGAAGACTGTTATTTTCAAAAATGTTTCGGAAGTGTCGTTATCGACAAAATATCTTAATCACTTACGTTGGGTACACCCTGAGTATAATGTCGTTCTAGATACTCTAGAGAGAGATAAAACATTAGGTACTTTTTGTGCAGTCATGTGAAAAATACAATTTGATTTGGACTTGTTTCAGGTGCTCTGTCGTACGCAGAGCTAGGCACGATGAACACATCGTCGGGTGCGGAGTACGCGTACTTCATGGACGCTTTTGGCGCTCCGCCCGCGTTCCTGTTCTCGTGGGCCAGTACTCTGGTACTGAAGCCCTCACAGATGGCCATCATCTGCCTCAGTTTCGGCAAATACGCCGTAGAGGCGTTCGTTACTGAATGCGAGCCGCCTGACATTGTCGTCAAAATGGTCGCGTTGCTTGCCATGGGTAAGTATTGACTATAGCTACGATAAAACAAAATCCCTGTCAGTAATAAGTCAACTGCTGAACGCACTGAGCGTTGTCCAAAATACTTTAGATTCTCCTATTGATCCCCGACTGAGAAGAAAATTAAAATATACTGAATAAAATTTTGATTGGACCGCTTAAAATAATAATTAACTGTGTGACAGCTTGACAAGTTACTCGAATATATGAAATCAGTTTAATTAAACCAAAACGCAGACGTTTAATTAAATATAATGACTGTTTACTCAGATTGATTACACTAATTTACTTAAAATTAATGAGCCATGGAAGTTAGTTGACCTGCTCGAAGTAAAACAATTCAATTATATTTTAAATATTTATTTTATTTAGATTCAAAAGGAAATTTTGATAATATTTGGAAATTAAAAAGTTAAATTGCATTTTAATGAGTGATGTACACTTCCAGAGGTATCTGAGCATCTGTATATTTTTATTTAAAATCATAACAAACAAACAAAAACTATTCACTACGTATCTATTTTTTTTTTTTATTGTAAACCATACTGGGATCTCATCATTAGCCACAATAGGAATGTATTCGCCTTTAGAATATTGTTATGTTTTTGTACAGGAATTCTATACGTAGACCCATGACAGTTTTACTTCAGATATCTTGTCTCATTTGATACACTACGTTAGGGTTAGATTTCTTGTGCGTGCACCAATAACAATCCTCCACTGCAACTCTTTGGGCTATTGTGGTTCATACCCATTTATATTTAATATTTAGCTTCGGCACGAAGATACCAGCTCCAACACCTATCTCGCTCTTGGAGCCGTCTGTGGATGCACAGATATCTTTCTTTATCAGGTTAACTTGCTGTTCCCACTCATTCCTGTGTGGAATTGTCACTGAGTAAGGTTTAGCATATTTTGTTATCTTTGACATTATATCAGACCCCCCAGACTGGGTTGGTTTAGTAAGTTCACCAGCATGTCCGTCTCCTCCATAATGATATTGTCCATTATACCATTTTCCACATGATGTCCTACTTGCGTCACCTTCCAGATATATGTGCAAGGGGGGTAGATTAAGAAGGACCTCCATAGCTGCAGTTATTGTGGTACGGAAGGCACCAGTGATCAACATACAAGCTTCTCCCTGAATTGCGCTCAGTTTGGCTTGGACAGTTCTTTGTGCTGCCTTGCCCCACCAAGCTACAAATCCATAGGTTAGCATAGGTATAACTACCATGGTATAAAGCCAAAACATTTGTTTAGGCTTTATTTCCCAGTTCTTAAGAACTGCTTCCAGGTGCGAATTCCAGTTTAGTGTTTTATCTAAGATTATTCCTAGATATTTCGCCTCCTTGCAAACGGTACATTTTCACCTCGGATTGTTGGAGGTTTAATCCCATCCAGTTTTCTCTTCCTGGTGAAAGGTACGATGAGCATTTTTTCGGGTTGATTGACATACCTTCCCCTTCGCACCAATCCGCTATTGCGGTTAATACCTCCTGGAGTGTTCCCGAGATTGTTCCCCAGATTTCTCTCTGACTAGAACGACTAGATCGTCTGTATCTGCTTGAACCTCGGCCTCCGATAGGCGGATAATGGCAATCAGATTATCTACCAGGAGTGACTACAAAAAGGGAAATAATAAGACCCCTCCCTGTGGACACCCCCTGGGAGCTCTAAATCTGAGAGTCTCCCCCTGGAAGGATGTCGTTATAATTCTGTATGTCAACATGCTTCTGATCCAGCCGCAGATCAGAGGATTCGCACCCCTGGAAGCGATTGATTCATAGAAGGAAGGCATTGTTAAATACTCCCTCTATGTCCAAAAAGGCAGCTATGATAATTTCCTTGTTTTCCAAGGACGCCTTGATGCTCACAACCAAGTTGTTGAGAGCAAGGTCTGTTTGTCCCCTGGACTGTGTGAACGTGCCGTCTGGTCGCTTGATCAACCTCAGCTCTAGTCCACAATCCTTGGAGAGGATCTTGTAGACTTTAGCACTGCTGGTTGCATCTGTTACATCGGTTAAGGTACTCCTATACTGGTCCCACTCACCAGATAGTTTGGCCAGGATTAAGAGTTTCCGAACCACTATCCTTTTCTTATTAAGACTGTTGTTCCACCAAGGCGTACTCTGGTTGTCTTTTTTCGCCTTGAGTAGACAGTTTTCCTGATAGGCTGAACTTATGGCCTGCGTTACCCGATCCGCCGATCTTTATTTGTTATCGTCCTGCTACAGGAATTCAGATTTTCCTTCAGGGTCGTTTTATATCCATCCCAGTCCATATTCCTCACAATCCTGTGGTATTCCATGGGTCTTATACCCGTTGCAATCTCAAAGCGAATATGTCGATGATCAGAACACGAGGGTTCCGGCGTTACCAGCCAATCTTTGATCCTACTGCTTAAATAATTAGAGCTAATTTTCAAGACAATGACCTCTTTCCTACTTCTAGTAATAAAGATAGGCGCAGCGCCCTTATTGTTGACCACTAGTCCCTCCCCGATTAAATAGTTAAACAGAGACTCACCTCTTTGATTAACATCTGTGCTCGCCCAGGCCATGTGATGCGCGTTGGAGCTGCATCCTGGCAGCAGGTGCACGTTCTTCCTCCTGCAATGGTCGATTAAGTTCCGCACCAGTTGGGGAGCTGATTATTCTGCATACCCAGGGAAATAGGCAGAGGTAATTACAACCTCTACTCCTCCTGGTAGGGTCAGGTGGATAGACACCATCTACCTATCGCAGAAATCTGTGAGAACAAAGTATTTTAGGGTTTTCCTGTCAAGGATGCATGCCGTCGGATTTGTTACCGATGCTGATGCTATTACCTTGCCAGATGTTCTTCCAAGTCCGGATACTCGACCTATGTTCGAGTTCCATGGTTCCTGGATAAGGGCGATATCAATTCCGTCCCTTTGGAATGTGGCGCCAAGGATGTTCGCGGCGGCCTTGGCATGTTGCAGATTAATCTGCAGCAGGCTCAGTGATTCAGCCATCATGCTGCAGCGCTGCAACCTTCTGATGTATCTCTGTCCCCACCAGGATCCCGTCGCTGTTTAGGTGGCCTTTGAAGCTCTTGTGTGCCTCAGGTCCTCCCTTCCCCTTCTTGGGTTTCTTTTTGCTTTTTTTGGCAGCGTCTTACCGGGAATAGTCTTCCCTTTGGTAGAGTCGCTACCAGTTGCAGCAGGAGGGGTGACCACATTTCTTTTTACTTTTCTATCGTAATTATACCCATTTATGTTCATTCATTGCCATCGCCATGGACGTAATAAACCAATATTTATTGAAAATATCCATTTATCTGAATATTTCAAACGTATCAATTCATTTCAGAAACAGTATGAGTGAAAATGTTTCTTGTACCTCATTTCAGTAATGTCTCTCAAACATAAATTGCGAAATATTATAAAACCAATATTTCTGAAAGATGTGCGAAATACCAAATTTGAAATGTAATATTGGGAAAGATATGTATACTAAGTGACATATAAATCCGAACACCCAGAAAAGTTGGTGAATGTATTTATCTTACTGTAAATAACAAGTGAAAAATTTTTCAGCCTTATCAGTTGGACATTTCGGTTTTTATACTGCTTTAATTCACTAACGCTCTAAAAATGAATATATCAGCCGCAGTAAAGAATCAACGTTGGCGGATTTTGGTTCTTGACATCCTTTACGATCGGTTACGATGCCTAGAGTACGGAGACCTGTACGATTTCGTCAACTTAGTGCGTTTGATAGGGGCCGTATAGTGGAACTTCGGGAAGCTGGACTTTCTTTACCGGCAATTGCAGTTAGAGTGCAAAGAAGTGTAGACACTGTGGTTAGGTGTTGTCAGGCATGGCTTCGAGAAGGCCGTGCGCAAAGGGCAAGGGTTACTGGACGCCGCCGTAGAACAACAGACCGTGAAGATCGCCGCCTAAGCTTATTGGCCTTAAGGGACCGTTTCTCCACTACCAGGTCCATTGCAAATGAATGGTTTGCAGAACACGGAAGACCTATTGGCATGCGAAGTGTTTACCGACGAATGAGAAGTTTTGGCTTGTTTTCATACCGGCCACACTGGGTCCTCCCTTTAACTCGAGAACACCGACGTAATCGCCTTGAGTGGTGCAGACAATGGTCACTCTGGGATCAGGAATGGAACAGTATTGTCTTTAGTGACGAGTCTCGATTTTGTTTAGGCATGCACGATGGTCGTGCCAGGGTTAGAAGGCGACGTGGTAAAAGGAGGAATCCACAGTTTTTTGTTGAAAGACATGTTCATCACACTGTTGGAGTTATGGTTTGGGGTGCTATAGCTTATGGTTCCAGGTCACCTTTAATCTTCATCAGGGGTAACATGAACGCGCAGCGTTATATCCACGAAGTTCTAGAACCCCATCTTTTACCCTATCTTGACACCCTGGCAGATCCAACTTTCCAACAAGATAATGCCCGACCACATGTTGCAAGAGTCACAATAGACTTCTTTCAACATAATGATGTCACATTGTTACCATGGCCACCAAGATCTCCCGACTTATCCCCAATTGAGCACGTGTGGGATATGATGGGTAGGAGATTGCTCAATTTACAACGTCCTCCTCAGACTCTAGAAGCACTTCGAGAGGAGTTAGTGGTTGCCTGGAATAAGATACCACAGGAGGACATTGACCACCTGATCAGAAGCATGCCTAGGCGCGTTGGAGAATGCGTAGCACATCAGGGTGCATCCACACATTATTAAAGGTCAAAGGGCTTTAAAGCAGTGCAATCATTTTGAAATTTTTATCATTTACTTATTATGCTTCATTAAGTACTCATACAAAATTTTATTAAAATAAAACCATTTAAACTGGGTGTTCGGATTTATATGTAACTTAGTATATTATACCACAAATGTCTCTGGGAACTAACGTGCTGTATCGGGTGTACTCTGGTCTTAAAACCACCATGACATTGAAACGTTGCAACTGATGAAATAACTCGTATGTGGCTAACATATTTGATATCGTCTGAAATCTTCAGCACTATTGTGAAATAAATTTTGTTCTAGTTGTGATATTGTACGTGAATTGCTACAGCGTAAATCTTGCCACAAGTGTACAAAATGTCTTCACGGCAGCAAAGTTGGTTGCTGTGCTGATCGTCATAATGGGAGGAGCGTATAAGATGTTTGAAGGTAAGAAACTTTGTTTCATCTCCTCTATCTACTTACTTAAGTATATAACTACATATCTCAAGTTGTTGGAAAAGTATCAAGGACCAACGGAAGTTTATTGCTGGATAGAGAAAACAATCGACATTGAGTGTTGCGATAAAAGTTTATTTTTGCAGTAAAAGTTATCATGTCGCCATCGTTTTGTCCACGCATGTAGTGGAACGTTAATACGGTGGATGGTTTTTACTTGTTTGAGTTAGAGGTTCCAAGCAAGATATTTTCGTAATGATACTTTTTAGAATGGAGTAAAATGTTCCAAACGCCTTCACGGACTTCTTGCTTTGCTTTCATGGGTTTACTAGACCTCAAGTTTTGTGGATATTTTTATACCAGAACATATTTTGAGAGAAATTTTTAGCTTGCGATAGTTAGTATGCAATCTAGGCTCTAGTATATTCTTATGATAATGGGAAGAAATAATGTATTTCTTGTCTTTATCGTTATTATAGTTTAGCGATAATTGTGTAGTTTCCACGTATACTGAAATTTCTGAGGAATGAGTGTAAGACCTATTCAGTAACTGTGACTTATTCTGTATGAGTACTCTGGGATTCATTTGTGTACGATAACGTTACAACTATACAGGAAGGCGCAACGAACAGACGCATTTACTTATTAAGTAAATTCTTTTAGTAAAATTTCTTCCGAAAGTAGTACAAACTAATCTGATGTACCTATTAAAGTCTACTTTAAGCTTTAAATCAATAAATCTTCAAAACTACTGAACTGAAGCTCATGTATTTTACATCATTATAAAGGGAATTGAAAGGCCTTTAAAATAAGGTATCACTCGACCCCCTTTCCATTTAAGATTTTAGGGATGGTGTCACCCCCGCCCAGGGGGCTTCACGAGTTAACGTGATTTGTTGCCAGACTTGTGTCCCCCTTGAAAACAAAATCGACGGGTCCGAGCGTTTTTCCAAAAAAAAAGGGGCTGCCACTAAATGCGTCTGTTTCGTTCTCGATGCGCCACCCTGTATATTCGTTATTATTCCTTCTTTCCACATAACACTATTAGAATGCGGTTTTAATGCTGAATCCCGTACACCTCGAAGTCTTATAAAAAATAGATATTACATACAGGGCGATCAAGGGGGACGTCTTTTAATTTACAGCCGTACAATACAGGGTGTACCAAACTGAGATATTGCGTTACACTTTACATTTTTAAATAAAAACCCTCTTTTTGCTAATTTTTAGATTCTCCATGAAGTGTTTAGTAGCTTTTGTACAATAAAGTTTATACGTATCTTCCATCGTTGTGAAGCTACTGATAATGGAACGCACGGCAAATAATTATAGTGTGATCAATATTAAACAGTGATTCGATTCAAGAAATAACAAAACTGTATGACCAAAATGGGAGCATTGCAAGGGCTACTGCCCGCTGGTTTAATGCGGTACATCCAGACAAAAATATTAACGATAAGTATGTGGCCAAGTTGATAAGAAAATTTGAAGCAACTGAATCTGCGTCTAATATTCGCCGTAATCGCCATCACGAAGTCGACGAGTTAAAAATGAAGCTGCAGAAATAGTTAGTTAGAAATAGTAAATAATTTTAAAAGACAATGCATTTCACTCATGAAAGATAAAGCTTGTCCATGAGCTTATAATCAAGACGATTTTTATAGGAGGTTTCCGAACTAATGTCCCAACACAACCAACAATTCAAATCTGTTATTTATCTAATATTTGTTTCTCGGATGAGTGTACGTTCTATTTACATGGTGCCGTATTGTCGATATTGGAGTGACTCGAATCCACATTTGTTTCGAGAGGTACAAATGCGAGGTACGATATTTTCGGAAATCATATTCTAGATTTCTTTGTTCCTGGAAACTTGATGGGCGAGACGCACTTGGACATGTTAAAGCCTCATCGAGTAGCCGCCGAAATATCCGGATCTGAGTCCTTGAGATTGCTTTCTTTGGGCGCATCTGAACATTTTTTTGTACAAAGAACTTCGTCAGCGGATTATGGCTGAATGTGGACAAATAACTCAAGGCATGCTTGAAAATGTGAGGAATAGATTCGAACAAAATTTGTATTATTGCATGGAGGTGAATGGATACCACTTTCAGCAATTATTACCACATTGACCTACCTCTTAAAAGGAAATTATTTTTTTCTTCAACTTCAATATGCGTGTAGACTGTAAGTTGTTTTTTGTTTTTTATTCATAATCGGATAGTTGTTTTTAGTTTTATAGTAAAGTCTTGTTCTTTTGGGAACTATATTATTATTTTTATGACTATCACAATTTCTGGATTTTCTTTATAAACTGATATCACAACGATTGAAGATAGGTATATTTATATATGCCTCACTGACGTTCCGGCCACCACCGTAGCTCATTTCAAATTATGAAAAGGTATTCTTTATCTGAAGTCACTTGAAACACTGTGAAATACCGGGTGCGTTTTATATATCTATATTTAACACGCTCTGTTGCTGCAAAAATCGCCAAATTTCGCAAGCAAATATCCCCCGTATAAGATCAAAGGCAGTTTTACCGGTCCACGTGGAGTAAAGCACGCCTATGCGTGGACATAGCCAATGAGAAAGCGTGTATTTCAGAGCTCCGAACAAGTGCAGGTGGCTACTGAAAATTGAAACAGTTTAGCCAGTGCCGTGTAGCGGTGAATAAACGTGTTTTCTTTAGTCTGTCCGTGTTTTTTCATAGATTTTATTAGTTTGTGTGTTTTTGGCTTTTGAATACTCAGTTTACTTGTTGATTTAATTGTTGTGTTGATTGTTCTTGTGTGTCCTAAATATGGCTCTTTGGAGACCTTGGGAAAATGCTCCAAGCCACGAGGAGATGGTTGATGAACCTGTGCAGGCAGAATTCTTTCATAAAGATTTAGAGGAACAGACCCATAGAGTAATCCTAAATATGTATGATTGTCTGAAAAACGAAAATCCAGATTCCTCGCAAAATCAAATTTTAAACAGAATTTGTATCCTGACAAAAATCAGTCGGTCTACCATTTATCGGGTTATAAAAAGGGGAGATGTAGTCAACCATTCCTTCCAAAGAAAGCGCATAGGGCAAAAATTAAAAAGAATAGACGTGGGTTTTCAGGAAGATATTCGTCTTATAGTATACGGATTTTATAAAGAAAATTTGGTGCCCACGTTGGAAATGATACGGGATAAATTATAAGATAATCCTGAAGATTTTTATAATTACAAATGCTTAGACTCACTGCACTGTATTGTAAAATTGTGTGGTTTTCAATACAAAAAATTATATAAAAGAATGGCGATTATGGAGTCGTCTCGAATCGTTGAATTGCGCCAAGAATTTTTGCACAAAGTTAAAATCTATAGAGAGCAGAAAAGAAATCTGATTTACCTGGATGAAACGTGGTATGATACCCATGATGTTGTGCAGTACGGCTGGGTTGACGACAGCAACAAGTGCATTTTAAATGCACCATGCAACCGTGGAAAACGAATCATTATTCTCCATGCTGGCAGTGAAAATGGATTTATACCTAATGCCTTGCTGTTATCTGCCAAAAATATCAAAGAATCATGTGCCGACTATCATGAGGACATGACCTCCGACTTATTTAAAAAGTGGATAGAGCAGCAGTTAATACCAAACATTTCCCCAAATTCAGTGATTATTATGGACAATGCGCCATACCATTCCCGACAGAAAAACAAAATTCCGAATACAGGCACAAAAAAACAAGACATTATTGATTTTATGAAGGATAAGGGAATGGAAATACCACAAAAATCAACCAAAGCCATATTACTGGATCTTATTAAAAGACAAAAATTTGAAAAAGAGTATGTTGTTGACAATCTGCTTCAGCAAAATGGCCATGAAGTATTACGTCTACCTCCCTATTACTGCATTTTTAACCCGATTGAGTTGGTGTGGGCTGCTTCAAAAAAAAAGTAAGAAAACATAATCAGACCCCTTAATTAAGTGAATCGCTATTGGCCACAATAAGAGATGCAGTATCTCATATTGCTGCCACAGACCTATGGAAGCAGTGTTCTAGGCATATTATTGAAAAAGAAAATGAATATTGTGTTTTGCCTCCTACAAATCCCGTTGTAATTCCTCTACAAGATGACTCTAGCGACAGCTCCGAACGCGAGGATGATATATAAATACCTATAATGTAAGTCTTTATATACCTTTTTATATACCTACCTGCTATGTAAATATTTGCCTATGTCAAACGTTGGAATTCTGTAATTTTTCCATTTTTTAACTATCAGTCAACATAAATTAAACTCCCAATATAAGTATTTTTTATCCCAAATCAAAAAAATAAGAAGATAGTAAAATCCATTTATTGTGATATAAAAGCATTATTATTATCGTTCTAAATAAATGACCGCACGCCTATGATACGTCATGAAATTACAAAGGACGCGCCGACCAAAGGTTTTTATGCTATTTCAAGTGACTTCAGATAAAGTATACATACACACAGAGCTTTCGAACAAATTGTATGCAAATAATCTCTGGAATTCCAATAAATTCAGATGTTAACTGAACTGTCAAGTATCTAGGGTTCTCAATATTCAACAATCAACACACATTAATTACCCTTCTGCAAAACCGCTGAGGTGCATAAAAAATCCATATCGGCATGAATTTTAATTGTTTGCTATCCTAACACGTGGGGACTGTGACTGAAATGTTGCTTAATTGAACGTCATATTTCACGGTATTATTAGAAACAGTAAATTGCTTTTTGATGGAAATAATCCACTTTGCATGATACCTGTGCAGTTTTGTATGAGCAGACTATGTTTTGTGTTGATGAAATTCAATTGCATTGGATTATAGATTGAGTATTACTGCAAACTTCACTGGTAATGCAGTCAAGTAAATTGGCTTTTGTAATTTCCAGGTATAAATATAAATTCATGTTAATGTGTAGTGTGTATTCATAAATTAAAATAATAATATTCCATCTTGTAATGTCACGTATTCCTGTTAAGGGGTTATAGATTATGTCAAAAGCAACCGATTTTGTCCTATAATGTCCTATCCAGAAGTTAACCGTTTTTGAGTTATTTGAATATTATTTTTTTTTATTGTTTATTCCGATTTCTGACGGTTGAATTTGAAATACAAAAAAACTATATGTTTGATTTTGAGTTTTTTGTTATCGTCGCATAGCGAACATTCCAATAGTTCATAATAAGTAATAAAATCTTGAAAACTTGCAAAAGTTGTAAAATTACGCTTTTGAAATGTATGATTTTCTTATTATTTACTAACTTATTACTAATTTCTGTAAAAAATCTCCTAGCAATGAAATGTGCAAATTATTTAAATAATATCTCTATGTAACAAGCTTTCATTTGAGGTATAAAAGTTACAACTAACTCAAGTACAAAGACATAAAATTAAAAAAAGATGAGTAAAGTTGTACGAACGATAATCACGTAGGATAAATAAAAGGCTTTTATTTTAATTACAGTTTTATTTAATTGCATTTCTTTTAGCATTTTACAGATTCGGCTCAAATTGTAATCCCCTGTTAAGAATACACGCCTGCATTCTCTTACGTAATTCACTTTTGGCAACTCTAGTTGTTAAGCGGCTTTTTATTTGGTCAGCTGCACTGACTATCCTTGTAATTAATTCATCGTGCGTTGGTACGGCCGAAACATCGTACTCCAGGCTTTTCATATGTCCCCACACATAGTAATCCATCGGTGTGAGATCTGGGCTTCTTGCTGGCCAGGCAATGGGCCCGCCTCTGCCAATCCATTGATTTGGAAATTTAGAATCTAAATACGCCCGTACTAATCTACTGTAGTGTGCGGGACAGCCGTCGTGCTGGAACCGCATATTTTGTCTCGCCGCCAATGGGACGTCTTCCATTAATGGAAACAAGTGATTTTTCAAGAGCTCTTCATACACTTCTCCATTTAAATAGGCGGGCAGAAAATGAGGTCCAATTAAATATCCATCAATGATGCCCATCCACACATTGACTGAAAACCGGCTCTGAGACCCCTTCGGTCTTATTTTTCGGGGGTTTAAAGCCTCTTTATCAGCCCAGTAATGAGTATTATGGTAGTTAGTGATCCCGTCCTCATCAAACTACGATTCATCGGTCCACAGAATTTTCTTAAAATAGTCTGGATCTTCTGTATCTGCATGTAACATGTACCTGCAGAAATCTAGTCGTCTTGCAGGATCGCCCTTTTCAATCACATGCACAGGCGTGTAGTGATAAGGGTATAATCTTGCAGTATGCACAGTAAACCATACTTTGTATTGTGATATACCCAACTGAGCAGCCACAATACGCGTAGACGTAGTAGGGTCTTCCTGAAACACACGAGGGATTTCCTCTTCATCGTCAGGAGGATAGATTCGGGGTCGACCAGCCTCACTATGTTGCCTTTGAATACGTCCGGTTTGGCGGATGCGCCGATACACAGAGTCAAACACAGTAACATGAGGTGTTCGGCAATTCGGGAACGATGCCGATATTCACGGCGGGCAGCTGCAGAATCGCCGTTACAAAGTCCATAACAGAACATTATGTCTGCGTAATCTTCGTTTGTAGAAGTTAAAAGCTAGTTCAGCCCTAACTTGATTAAATGTATTGAGTCCGTTGGAGTCTCGGGATCTAATCGTATATTTGTGACAGAAAAACGCACGCCACTAACTTTTGTGCAATTATAATTATGTTCTTTGGATTAAGCAAATAGGAATACAACTTTTTTGTTACTTGAATTTTTTTCATTTCTTGCGTGGTTTCCGAAAAAAAGTCCACCTAATTGCATATCCCTGGTCCAAACAAGGTATATGGGGAAGATATTCTTAGTCAAGTAAAACTCATTAGTTTAGATGTTAATTCAATTCAATCTAGTATTTATTTGTATGTTGTTGTTACATAATTAGTATTAAAAAATTATAAAAAAATAATTTCCAAAAATTTTCCCCATATTCCTTGTGTGGTACAGCGATATGCCATTAAGTGGACTTTTTTGCGAAGACTAAGCAAGATACGAAAAAAATTCAAGAGACAAAAAAGTTGTATTTCTATTTGCTCAATCTAAAAAACATAATAAAAATTGCACAAAGGTCACTGGCACACCTTTTTTTGTCACAAATATTCGTTCAGATCCCGCTGGAGACATCCCTAGACTAAATAAATTTAATTAAGTTAGGGCTAAATTACTTTCTTAATGTTATAAGTACCACCGCCAAATTACAACAAAATTAGATAAAAGATATACTAAGTGACATATAAATCCGAACACCCAGTTTAAATGGCTTTATTTTAATAAAAGTTGGTGAATGTATTTATCTTACTGTAAATAACAAGTGAAAAATTTTTCAGCCTTATCAGTTGGACATTCCGGTTTTTATACTGCTTTTTTTAATTCACTAACGCTCTAAAAATGAATATTTCAGCCGCAGTAAAGAATCAACGTTAGCGGATTTTGGTTCTTGACATCCTTTACGATCGGTTACGATGCCTAGAGTACGGAGACCTGTACGATTTCGTCAACTTACTGAGTTTGATAGGGGCCGTATAGTGGGACTTCGGGAAGCTGGACTTTCTTTTCGGGCAATTGCAGTTAGAGTGCAAAGAAGTGTAGACACTGTGGTTAGGTGTTGTCAGGCATGGCTTCGAGAAGGCCGTACGCAAAGAGCAAGGGGCACTGGACGCCGCCGTAGAACTACAGACCGTGAAGATCTCCGCCTAAGATTATTGGCCTTAAGGGACCGTTTCTCCACTACCAGGTCCATTGCAAATGAATGGTTTGCAGAACACGGAAGACCTATTGGCATGCGAAGTGTTTACCGACGAATGAGAAGTTTTGGCTTGTTTTCATACCGGCCACACTGGGTCCTCCCTTTAACTCGAGAACACCGACGTAATCACCTTGAGTGGTGCAGACAACGGTCACTCTGGGATCAGGAATGGAACAGTATTGTCTTTAGTGACGAGTCTTGATTTTGTTTAGGCATGCACGATGGTAGTGCCAGGGTTAGAAGGCGACGTGGTAAAAGGAGGAATCCACAGTTTCTTGTTGAAAGACATGTTCATCACACTGTTGGAGTTATGGTTTGGGGTGCTATAGCTTATGGTTCCAGGTCACCTTTAATCTTCATCAGAGGTAACATGAACGCGCAGCGTTATATCCACAAAGTTCTAGAACTCCATCTTTTACCCTATCTTGACACCCTGGCAGATCCAACTTTCCAACAAGATAATGCCCGACCACATGTTGCAAGAGTCACAATAGACTTCTTTCAACATAATGATGTCACATTGTTACCATGGCCACCAAGATCTCCCGACTTATCCCCAATTGAGCACGTGTGAGATATGATGGGTAGGAGATTGCTCAATCTGCAACGTCCTCCTCAGACTCTAGAAGCACTTCGAGAGGAGTTGGTGGTTGCCTGGAATGAGATACCACAGGAGGACATTGACCACCTGATCAGAAGCATGCCTAGGCGCGTTGGAGAATGCGTAGCACATCAGGGTGCATCCACACACATTATTAAATGTCAAAGGGCTTTAAAGCAGTGCAATCATTTTGAAATTTTAATCATTTACTTATTATGCTTCATTAAGTACTTATACAAAATTTTATTAAAATAAAACCAATTAAACTGGGTGTTTGGATTTATATGTCACTTAGTATATTTAGGATATTAACGAAAAAACATTTTTTTATTTTAACACCCTGTATCTTTTGTCTCAAAATTACCCAAAAACTAGTTGTTAAATTCATCGTACATACTTAATCAACACCCTGAATCTATCTGTCAATATTCACGAATCATTTCACTTGCCACTTCATTAAAGTTAGTCTACCAGTAATCTGCGATCAAAGTTACATTCACCACTTTTATTTTTCAGGAAATACTCAACACTTGAAGGAACCATTCAAGGATACACAGTTTAGCATCGGAAACATCGCAACTGCATTTTACACAGGCCTATGGGCTTACGATGGTTGGAATAACTTGAATTACGTCACAGAAGAAATAAAAAATCCATCCAAGTAAGTTTCGGGTATCGTGTAGTGTTTCGTATTTATACGTAAACTGGTGGACAGGTGCTTTGCAACATGGAAAATTTTACCCAAATTCAAATTTCGGTATTTTTGGAACGGAAAGAGAGTTATAGCGAACTTTAGAAGCATTTGAGATATCCCGTTTTTATGATAGTCCAAGGATCAAAACGATGCATAGAAAAATTTACAAGGTCAAAAATTGAGAATCTGGCATAGACCCAAAATTTTCTGAACAAAATATGACTTCCTTTGCTCACCCTGTATAAGTAGATAAATAAAAGAAATATACCGGTCGAACCCTGTATGCAGCTGTTCTCGAAGAGTTGGTCAAGAACCTCCCGGATACTGCAGCTCAATATCTCTTTCCCTTCTGAAATTATCGAGATTTGAATTTTGGTGAAATTTTCCATGTTGCAAAGTAACTGTCCACCAGTTTAGATAGAGATATAGTTTTATTCATCTATAAGTGCTGCAATTATAAATGTAATAGTACAGTATCACACTTGTTAATATTCCAAAATAAAAAATATAACAAATGAACGTGAACAATTAGGCTAAAATTGGATTTAAAAACTTCAGAGCTACACAATAACTATTCAAAAATTCATCTACCGAATGCCTTATTAATAAGAAACTACAAGGTATTAGTTATAAGTTCTTTAATTTTTTAAGTGTCTTCAAATTTATCAGAATATTTATTGAATCACATAACCTGCTGATACTTATAATGCTCTTTTCCAACACATAGCCCTGAAAAATTATGGTAAATGTTATTACCATGTCTTATATTGTATGGATGCACATCACTATTTTGTACGAAAGGAATATACTAAGTGACATATAAATCCGAACACCCAGTTTAAATGGTTTTATTTTAATAAAATTTTGTATAAGTAGTTAATGAAGCATAATAAGTAAATGATAAAAATTTAAAAATGATTGCACTGCTTTAAGGCCCTAGGCATGCTTCTGATCAGGTGGTCAATGTCCTCCTGTGGTATCTCATTCCAGGCAACCACCAACTCCTCTCGAAGTGCTTCTAGAATCCGAGGAGGACGTTGCAAATTGAGCAATCTCCTACCCATCATATCCCACACATGCTCTATTGGGGATAAGTCGGGAGATCTTGGTGGCCATGGTAACAATGTGACATCATTATGTTGAAAGAAGTCTATTGTGACTCTTGCAACATGTGGTCGGGCATTATCTTGTTGGAAAGTTGGATCTGCCAGAGTGTCAAGATAGGGTAAAAGATGGGGTTCTAGAACTTCGTGGATATAACGCTGCGCGTTCATGTTACCTCTGATGAAGATTAAAGGTGACCTGGAACCATAAGCTATAGCACCCCAAACCATAACTGCAACAGTGTGATGAACATGTCTTTCAACAAAAAACTGTGGATTCCTCCTTTCACCACGACGCCTTCTAACCCTGGCACGACCATCGTGCATGCCTAAACAAAATCGAGACTCGTCACTAAAGACAATACTGTTCCATTCCTGATCCCAGAGTGACCGTTGTCTGCACCACTCAAGGCGATTACGTCGGTGTTCTCGAGTTAAAGGGAGGACCCAGTGTGGCCGGTATGAAAACAAGCCAAAACTTCTCATTCGTCGGTAAACACTTCGCATGCCAATAGGTCTTCCGTGTTCTGCAAACCATTCATTTGCAATGGACCTCGTAGTGGAGAAACGGTCCCTTAAGGCCAATAATCTTAGGCGGCGATCTTCACGGTCTGTTGTTCTACGGCGGCGTCCAGTGCCCCTTGCTCTTTGCGTACGGCCTTCTCGAAGCCATGCCTGACAGCACCTAACCACAGTGTCTACACTTCTTTACACTCTAACTGCAATTGCCCGAAAAGAAAGTCCAGCTTCCCGAAGTCCCACTATACGGCCCCTATCAAACTCGCTAGGTTGACGAAATCATACAGGTCTCCGTACTCTAGGCATCGTAACCGATCGTAAAGGATGTCAAGAACCAAAATCTGCCAACGTTGATTCTTTACTGCGGCTGAAATATTCATTTTTAGAGCGTTAGTGAATTAAAAAAAGCAGCATAAAAACCGGAATGTCCAACTGATAAGGCTGAAAATTTTTTCACTTGTTATTTACAGTAAGATAAATACATTCACCATCTTTTATTAAAATAAAACCATTTAAACTGGGTGTTCGGATTTATATGTCACTTAGTATATTATCGGTTTTTTTAATACATAATAATGTATAAAAGTGTAACGTATGCACTAAAAGATTTGGCAGAAAATATTTATAGTTTTTTTTTAATGCAGAAATTTAATTAAGCACTAACTAGCTATTATAAATTTCAACTCAATACTTAACCATACTGTATATTGCTCAGCAAACTACTAGTGATGGCCGGAAGACAGGTGTTTTGGGATAAACAATTAGAAATTCTCAAAGACTACTTGACATTCGACTCCAATTTTGTTGTGGTTAGTTAGAAGTATCAAGCCTACGATTTGATGAATTATCCTCGCATTAGCAGGATGTGCCAAAGCGTGCATTTTGCCTCGGTTTTCGGCCATAACTTTTTTACTGCTAGCCGGATCTTTTTCCGTGTGATCTCATTCGGTAAGTGTCATAAATACCTAATAATCTTATTTAAAGAGTTTTTTGGTTCCTGTCAACACTTTCAATAGAATCCCAAAAAACACGTTTTCTCATTCTTTGTTTTCCCACAAAAATCGGTGTACCCATGTTTCAAATACCCCCTTGAACAACTTGCATTGATAAAACCAGACTTTACAATTATATTGGGAAAATTTGTTAATATGATTAGAGTATTACCTAATCAAAATGAAAATCCATTTGTTCAGCATGGAGAAGAGTACATGATCAGTAATCAGATACATCTAAATATATTTTTCTCACAGCTTTCCTAAATCTAGATACATTTAAAACTTTGAGGTGCCTAGGGATGGAGTTGTGGGCTTTGTAAATATACTTAGTGACATTAGAAGTGTTACACCCAGAAAAAATAATTTCTTCGACTTGTTTTGCATTCTGTGGAAACAATGTGAACGTTTTATCTTTGCTTATGTTTACCTTTGTTAAAATGTTGTCGCTTGTTTTCGTGAAAAAAACAGTCTATGAGAACTGAGTAGTACAGATATTTTTAGTAATTGAACTTTCATTTGCGTCATGTTGAGCATAACAAAATGCCTCGATTTCGAAGACGTGCAAATTATCACCATGTTTGACCTTGACTGGGGTCGAATTATTGCCTATCGAGATATTGGTTTGTCCTAACGCGAAATTATCATCCGTGTTAATTGCACTACAATGACGGAAATGCGTGTGTGTCGTGTGTGGATAGAAGATGGTAGAGGAACACGAAGAAAGCTAACTGGCCGCCCGAGCGTATCACAGAGCGTCCAGATAGGCGCTTCAGACAGCTAGTCCTACGCGTCAGATCGCTGACCAGTGGTTTGGAGAAGAAAGTAGACCTGTTACTATGCGTACACTCTATCGCCGCATTCGAGCCTTCGGAGTTGTTTCATACCGTCCACGGTTAGTGCTTCCTCTGACTGCGGACCACTGTTGTCAACGTTTCGAACTGGAGCAGAACAGGGCAACATTGGGAGGCAGAATGGCATAATGTCATCTTCACCGACGAATCGCGATTCTGTCTAGGTACCCACGATGGCCGTAGAAAGGTAAGACGCCGCCGTGGAGAACGGCGTGATATTGGATTTACTGTTGAGAGGCATGTTCACAGGACTGTTACATTAATAGTTTGGGGGGCTATTGCTCGTGTTAGCCGATCAGCCCTTCTCTTTGTTCAAGGCGATATGATTTCTGCGCGTTATGTTGATGATGTCCTACAAACCACTTTACTTCCGTATCTATAGAGGGTAGCCCACATGTCTTTCTTCGGCAAGACAACGCACGTCCCCATATTGCTCGTCGTACTACGGACTTTCTTCAAGAAGCAGGAGTTAATGTTTTACCGTTCACCGGATTTAAATTCCATCGAACATGCCTTAGATATGATGGGGCGGAGACTATCCACTTTGCACCATCTCACTCTTCCACAGCTAATCCACAAAGTTCGAGTTACCCAGAATGAGATGCCACAACCAGACATCGATCATCTCATTTTGGCGATGCCTAGAAGTATACAGGAGTGTATTGAGCTGCGGGGTCGCATATCAATTATTTTTTTTATTACTTGTCAATAAAATTTGGTGCGAATCTTATCGTTTCGTTCTTGATGTAAGACTACCTCATTGTCAAAAAATCATGTTGAAGAAATTATTTTTTCTGAGTCTAACACTTCTAATGTCACTGAGTATATTTGAACACCCGTTTTATGTGACATAGCGGAAATACTACATTTGTAACGGATGTTGACATCATGTACCTCTCTTTCACTTTGTTGTGTAAGTAAAGCGGGTTCTTGGTAGACAGAATTTTGTCGTAAAAGCATAATATAACTACCTACCTCAAATTGGTGTTTCATATTCAGCTAATGCAAGGGTTTTAATTTATGGCTAACTCTCTCATATTTAGCTATACTCACCAAAGATAAAACGTATACAAGTGTTCTGAACACGTTGTATTCGAGTTGATATTTCATGGTCGAAGCAATGGGAGTAAACAGGATAGCATATGAGAATTGTGATAAGATCAGAGATGTCCAGAATAGCTAACTAAGAATACGAGGTACTGTATCTGGAAAGAAATTCCAGAAAAATTACTTTAAAAATGAATTATTTAAAGGATATCAGTATAAAATTTTCTTTGGCCTAAATTTTAGGTTAGTAACATGACACCAAGAAGCGCTTTCATCGAGCTTGTTTAGACATCATTTAGCTACTTTTTCATAAAAAAAAATCATGGGAATGTCGATAAAAGCCCTCCAGCGGACACGCGTGAAACTAGTAAAGCTTCAAATATTATAACGTTTGTAGCCCGAGAGTAGCTCTTTTTAACTAACCCAAGCTTATTAAGATCGGCTCAACCGTTTCGAAGGTACAGGGTGTTTTTTACGGAAACCTTTGAATACCCCCCACCACTTCATTTTTAGAGATACACCAAAAATTGACAAACAAAAAAGGTTCTTATTGTCCTCGAATTTGAAGATCAGGTACTTTTTTGTTAGGTTAATGTAGCGGTATTCGCAGAAACATCACTTTTTTATATTCAAAGTTGTAGTTGCCCCCCTAGCGACCACTTTAGATCCTTGAAAGTATTTTCCAGGTTTTTCTTCTGGCAGTTTTGGTAATAATTGTTTTTGCCCCAAGCCTCTACGATGGAAATGTTATCAGTTACAGTACCTTGCATTCTTAGTTGACCATCCTGTATAAAGCAACCTTTTAGTTTGTAAGATTTATGGACATACAAAAGTTTTTCGTATAGAGAAACGAATACATTGCCTAACCATTAAAAAAACGATAAGCCTAAATGGCTGAATTTATAACCTGTATAAGTTATTGACAAGACCTTTTTGTTCAATATTTTCAGGAACCTGCCACGTAGCATTGTCATAGGCATTCCGTTGGTAACGGTGTGTTACGCCTTAATCAACGTTTCGTACTTAACAGTGATGTCTCCAATGGAAATGGCGACCAGTGAAGCGGTTAGTATACACAATATACTCTTCGCTCATCCAAGAAACCTAATTATAATGAAGGAAAAAGTATCACGATCAGTATTTACTGTGGTCCATATTATCAACCATTACTAATCATTCTGTCAGTATCAGTGGATATTTGCATAACATTGTGCATCAATACTGACGTTCTGACTACACGGTCAAGAACAGTGATAAATACTGACCGATCACAGTAAATACTGATCAATCGATATTGGCGAGTCATTCTTATATAAAAATATGGATTTCATTTTATTTCATTCTCAACAGAATCATTTTCCAATTCAGTCTTGGGAAGCATCTTCATTCTTTCCAGAGTTTCTAAGTTTTCAAAGAAAACATATAGTGAAAAGCTAAAAACAATCCAAAAGTAGTCATTTTTATGTGCCTCAAACCTGCTAAATGCTTAATGCAAATTGGAAAGCTGCTTATTAGTGAGGACCCAATAAGAATTTTACGATTTTTGTAGATTTTATTAAAAAAAAAAATTGGCTATGCTGTGAATCTCAACACAAAAAAAACAAAATCCTCATTATTCTTACAAGAGTTTGTGAAACATGGACTTCCAATTAACTTCGATGTTTACTGTGATGTTTTCTTATGTCAATATAATAACGTCGACCTAATAAGAAATGTAAAAGTATAGCGAATATAGCAAGGAAATATAAAGTAAAATGATTTTGTGACTCCTTTCATGTATATACTGTTCTTTTCAGAAAAGCTATTCCTACTTATTTTTTTCTACATCTCAAGTTAGTAAGCTTGAAATTGGTGTGGTGGAATTGAGGTATAGATATTATACAGGGTGTAAACGTTATGGTAGTCATTATCGAAATGGGTAACCGGGGGGTCAAAACAAGTCAAAAAGATCAAATGACGCATGGTCCAAAAGTCGATAGATTTTTGTCTAAATGGCTTTATAGTTTACAACTTTAAGTGCTTTATATCGACCACAATCAACACAATCTTACTAATTTTTATAATACAATCTAAAACGTTTTTAAATTGGGTAATTGACAAATAAATGGCATTAAGTTTTTTTAAGTTGAGCCAAACTTTGTAGTCAGTAACTAAGTAAGTTTCATTAAATTAAATATTTAAAACACACATGACAACAGCGCGTCGGCCTTTCAGGACTCTTATCGAACCGGCAATCGATCGCAAACGGTAGTTAGTTATCGTTTTGCATAGATAAATTACTTTATAGTTTTGTCAAGCAGAGCATCGGGCGTGTTGTTTTGCTTTTGTTCGCGTACGTCGTCGTGTTTATTTACAATGTTCTCGAATCAAAGGTCAAATTTATTGCGACAGATTTCGCCAACGGGTTCACCCAGACAAAAGGACATTTGTGCAAGTGTACCAAAGACTTCGAGATACAGGAAGTGTTCAGCCCACTAATAAGGTATATTTTTTAATTCACCGGTTGATTCCATCACTGATGGATCCGGTGAACTCATGGTTGACAGCTGATGTGATGACGTTAGCAACCGGTTCCGCTGAATGGTCGTTATTAAAAAGTTGCATTTTTAGCCTTCAGATTGCTGTCATATGAGAAAACCTAACCCTTGTTTTATCGTAAATGGATACTTGTTAATTTGAACACCGTATCATTTAAAATCATTATGGAAATTTACGCAGCAGTTGGTATTGTCGTGGAACGTTTGTTAAGCGACTCGAGTCATGATTATGATGAAGAAGTTATCCAGCGGAGAGAGTTTGCCCTCCGAGAATCAATATAAGAACTATAAATCAGAAAACCAAGAAATTTTCAGATATCGACGATCTCAAATCAATACGAGGCATTGATTTGAGATCGTCGATGCTTCCTGAATAAGAACCATTGATATGGATTTTCTGAGAGCATTCCTGTATTCATACAGGAATAAAAACAAAAAAAAAATCAGAAAATCGACATTTGCGGACTTACGAGGTATTGATTTGAGATCGTCGATATGCATAATTGAGTTGAAAAAAAAAAACATAAAATTTCACGCGACTCAAAAACGGATAAAATGTAGAGGTTAGAATATCGTGGATCAACCGAGCCCGAACGTCGGTGGATGCTGTTGGCACCGATGGCATAACCACCATCAATATATAGACAAGTTAGATGTACAACCGGTCATTCCAGCGGAAATTAAAGGACGCAAACTTAGCTAACCGGTTGCACCGGTAGCTCAACCGATGAATTAAAGAATATACCTATATTCGCACTCGTGAAAGACAGGTTGCTGTAGAGTAGGAGGAACAAATTTTAAATATCGTGGAAATCAATGCAGATATCAGCACTTGGGAATTAGGCTGCCGCGTAGGACTATCGCATGGAATCCTACGGGAAAATTTGCTTTATCCCTATCATGTACAACGAGTGCCTTCTTACCAGAAGACTATCCTCGAAGATTAACATTCTGTCAGTGGTTTTTGCACAAAAACATTGAAAATCCGGATTTTTTTAAAAACATTCTAGCGACGGACGAATGTACTTTTACACAAGACGAGATGTAAATTTCCATAATACTCACACGCGGGCCCAAGAAAACCCTCATGCCATTCGTGAAAGTCATTTCCAACAACGTTTTAAAATAAATATTTGGGCGGGTATTCTTGACGATCAGGTAATTGACCCTTTCGAGTTACCCCCAAAGTTGTCAGGAGAAGGATACCTCAGCGTTCTAGCCAATAACCTACCAGAACTTTTGGAACAGACCTTAAACAACATGCCATTACAACGGAGACAGAATTTGTGGTTTCTTCATGACGGGGCACAACCACACATTTTTAGAGGCGTCATTCAGTATTTGAATGAACATTATCCAAATCGCTGGATCGGTCGAAATGCTCCTGATCCTCGAACATGGCCAGCGAGATCTCCTGACCTCAATCCGATGGATTTCTGATATTGGGCCGAAATTAAGGGATGGTTTATGGGACTGGTCCAATAACGACTTAAGCACAACTTAGCGAAAACAATTTTAATGCGGCTGAAATAATAAATGTACAACTTCGAGAACCTAGAGTAAGAAGAAACTGGGTTCGGCTTGTGTGGAAAGTGGAGGACGACATTTTAAACACCTTCTTTAAATACAAAAAAGTTGCAGTGTGGGTCTTAAAATGAAAAACAATGTATGTATCAAAATTGTGTTCCCTATCTACAAGTGGATGTTTTTAATACCTTCAATAAACTTTCACACACCAGGTGAAGCGCTGATATAGTTAGTGGTAAGTCCGTTTTTTTTAATTGTTTGCATTTGACGAGTACATTATCAAATAATGAAATAATACCTAAGCGCCAAAAATAACAAACTCCATCTTTAGTTACACTTCATCCCGTCATAATTTGCGTCTGGTATTGCGACGTTGTCAGATTTTATTTTACTTTTTCTCTAAAAAAATGCCGTTTTGACCCCCATGTTATATGAAACCTTTTGCTTCTTTCAACCCCCACTCTCACCCATTCAAATAATGACCATCATAACGTTTATTTTATCGTAAAAGTGAACGTTTTTAGATGACGGTTGGGCGCCATCTTGGAACATTTTTAATAGTATTTGGTTGTCATGTGATACCTCATTTAAAATAATTTATACCCTTAGAACATCAAAATGATACCTTTCAAGTTGATATATCATGACACGTTTGGTGTGTATCCTTCTCCGAATATGTACGAGGGTGGTCCGAATAGTTTTCGACGTAAAAATGGCACCACTCGTAAATAACAGCTATACTACAACTATTTAAAACTGTAATGACTCATACGCGTGATCAACACGTGATCAGAGCTCGATCCCGGCTTCCTTCGAATACAGCCGTATAGCGTACGACATATGTCGTTTCTGTGGCTTTGCGGTGGTCAACAGCACAGACAGAGATGGAAATAATGGCTGATTGTTCTCCGCCGGTAGAACCAATGAAATCAAAGACGCGCCTCGACCGGCAGACTCATAGGCGTCGGCAACGCATTGGAACTGGTTTCGTTGAGCGATCGCATATTGTGTGTTTTTATAAGAATTGTTGTGTGATTGTTATTGTTGTGGTTTCTGTGGTTACTGTTTTGGTTATACTTAACCATGGAGAGTACAAATGGCACGAGTGGAAGTACTGAAAGCCAGGGAACAAGTAGACGGCTTCGTAAAGCACTGAAGAGGGACGCGAAAGAAATCGTGCTCAACGTGTTCAATTATCTGAACAGAACTATGTCGCAGGGAGATACATTCGCGCGTTGTGAAAGTATGACAGGCGTTCCAGAGTGGACCATTCGCAGGGTGGTGCATGAAAAGAAGAAAACTGGAGCTACTACTGATCCAAAGTTTAATTTGAAGGGACGAAAGGCCGTTAAATTGAATGACGATAGCAAAATGGCGTTAAGGCGAACCGTACATTCATTCTTCTTTAGGAATGAGATACCAACCCTCAAGGCTGTACATGCAGCGATCAAGGAAAATGAAATTATACCCCAAATGAGTGTCGAGATAATGAGAAATTAATTTTCGTTACGAAACGCGTAATCGGAAGTCAGTATTGATAGAGAGACCTGAAATAGTCGCCTGGTGTCGAAAATACCTACGCGAAATGATTGAATATAGGCGACAAAGCAGAAAAATCTATTATTTGGACGAGACATGGGTAAATGCAGGTCACACAGTTAAAAAAACCTGGATAGACAAAAACGTAGTGAGTAACCGACAAGCAAGCATTGAAGGTTTGTCAACAGGTCTTTGTGGACCGTCAGGGAAAGGTCAAAGATTGATCGTAACTCATATTGGTAGCGATAGTGGCTTTTTAGAAGAGTGTGACTTGATTTTCGTGTCTAAGAAAGGAGGTGATTACCATGACGAAATGAATGCCAGCTGCTTCGAGAGCTGGTTTCAAGGGGTGCTTCAGCGAGTTGAGCCCAACTCTGTGATCGTCATGGATAATGCTTCCTACCATAGCCGTCGAGCCGAACGTGTACCGACTATGGGATCTCGAAAAAGTGACATGCAGCA